TGTAAAGAAACATGGAGAAGCGGTAATAAATGAAGATGGTGTAACAGAAGTTTTTCATTGTGATGACAATGTCCCAATCATCAATCAATTAACAGATGGAAAAATCTGTAGTATGGTTCTAGATCCAGAAAATACCACTACCGATAGTGAACAAAGTGACAGAGATGATATTGAAAATAAAAAAATTTCGATTTACAAGTTAGTCAGAATTCTCGACACAGCAATTATAGGGCTTGAACAAAATGGAACTTTGTAACTGAAAGAGAAATTGTGTCCGTCTATGGAAGTCAAGAGAAAGTATTAGCACAAAAAAGAATGAAGCAACTTAAACAGCTTAAATTGAAAGAAATGCTTAATAAAGTAAACAAATAATTATTAAGTTTTTTTTTTTTTTTTTTTTTTTTTTGTAAAATTTTGACACCCTTTAGATCATAAGTGCTTCATATTTTTAATTTTATAATTTCTACATGCCATCTTACTAGATTTAAACTGATGATCTAATACCTGGAAAAATCCCAAATCCGGAACCGCCTCGTCCAGATCTCGGATCTTGTACTGTATTAGATTTATATAGAGCTTTGTTCTAACATAGGTATTTTGACATAAAATCGAACGTTTTCTGAAACAACATACCAATTTTTTTCCATATTTTGATTTTACGACTCAATTTATGGCTAGATATTTTTGTTGGCTAGATTATTTGAGAAATTTATCTTGGCAAATTTTTTTCAGTTTGCACCAAGAACCATTCTAAACTACTTAATTTATAGCAACCTATTTTCCTTTCCTTTTTCTTCAGTCCACGAGCATGGAAAAAAGTCATTGTTCATACTTTAACAAAGTGCATAAACCACATTTTCGTTACTATCGCTTATAATAAATGCGTCAAATTTCGAAAGATGCCCAAAATGTAAATTCACGTATATCTTAGGAAATTTTGAATAAAAAATTCTAATTTTTTGCAGGTATGATTAGAATTACATCTACTTTAAAATGATGGCAAAAATTTTATAGGTTATAATTCAATTTTGTTTTTCGAAAAATTTATATAAATTATAGAAATCATAAAAATAGGCAAGTTTTATTTGGAATGAACCTAAAATTTCGAAATATGAAAGGAGGAATTAAATAAGTTTAATAAAAAAAGAGGTATTAATAAATATATATCAAATTCAATTAACATTGAGAAGCTGAAGTTTTGAGAGCTAATTTTTTAAAAACTACTCATGCTATTTTTACAAAACTTAGCAGTTTGGCATAACTTGAGTCATAGAATCAAAATATGGAAAAAATTGGCATGTCATTTCAGTAAAAGTTCAATTTTGTGTAAAAATACCTGTATTAGAACAGTGCTATATATAATCTAATACGTATCCAAAGTCTCGCTTTCGAGACATGAAAAACACAATTTGAATGCAAAGAATGGGAGATACAGAACTTTCCTCCTTTTTTTGTGCAGTCTATGAAGCATTGCGTGTGAGAAACCTGACTACGTGTGAAAAACCTTTAATAAGCAGTGTGGAAATGTCATTTCTTTAATCAGATGTTCAAACATGCTTACAAGATGAAGCCTACTGAAATACAATGAGGTGAACTGATAAAGCTGTTTTGTCTGAATGGAGTAAATGCTACTGAAGCAGCACAAGTTTGTGGATGAAATTATAAGCCAAAATTAGGCCCATGTTCCATAAAACCTGTATGTTAGTTGGTAAAAAAATGTGAAGAAATTGAACGCACATTTGATAGACTGCAATTCGGATGACCATGTGTTCCTGATGAAGTTGTACTGTGGAAGTGCATATGATTACTGCAAGTACATTGCTTACTACAAGAGGTGTAACCCACAATTTGGATGTACCAAAAACCTTAGTCCTCAAGGTTCTGTATGCTATTCTTCAGATGTTTCCTTATTGATTCCAGTGCATCCGATGTTGGAACCTGGAGATTGTAAATCTTTTCTTCATCAGATATGATGAAGGTAGCAGGTGGCTGCTGCAGATATTATGGGCAGATGAAGTGCATTTCTCTTTAACTGCGAGCATCAACAATTTCGCTGGGCTGACAGAAATTCTTGCAATGTGGCACTAGCACCTTTACACGAAGCTAAAAAATACCACTACGAATTTGTTTTTTGTCTGTACTTTTTTTAAGGCATAGCTTCCACAGATATGGAAGTGCTTTTCATTACAAGTGTTTGGTATACAACAATGTTGTAGAATTATGTGTCCAGAATTTCAACAGTTCAATGTTGTTAATGATACTGTGTGTATGCAAGATGGTGTTCCTTCACACACTGCCACATGTGTTCGGCAAGTGCCGCAACAGCACTTTGGAGGTAGAGTCATCTCACATAACTTTACAGTTTTGTGGCCACCAAGATCGCCCAATCTCACCGTAATAGATTTCTGCTTCTGTGGTTATCTGAAATGTAAGGCTAACATGTCAAAGCCATGAGATTTGTCAGAATTGAAAGATGCCATAAAATGTGAAGTTGTACAGATTTCTGCTGCAGTGTTACATACATCATTGTTGTCAATGATCTCCCGCATGCAATGTGTCGTCATCTGCAATTTTGAAAACTTGTAATTCCAACTAAAGATTTTTTCTCTTCTCCTTCCTTATATTGTCATCTGTCCTTTATAATGCTCTTCTTTGCAAATGTTTAAAGTCTAAAAGTTTCATTTGATTCAAAATTAATGATTAATTTTGAAAAAAAATTTTTAAAAATAAGGAAAATAAATTAAAACCTAGAATTTCCCAAAATTGGCAGATTCTGTGAATTATGAATTCTAGGAAAATTTTCGTCATTTACATCTTTTTAAACCAGATTTTAGAAAATTGTAACTTGCTTTGAGAGGCTGCAATTGCAGTATCAATCATGATAATTTAGGTGTTGATAATAAATGCAAAAATAAGGAAAATAAATTAAAACCTAGAATTTCCCAAAATTGGCAGATTCTGTGAATTATGAATTCTAGGAAAATTTTCGTCATTTACATCTTTTTAAACCAGATTTTAGAAAATTGTAACTTGCTTTGAGAGGCTGCAATTGCAGTATCAATCATGATAATTTAGGTGTTGATAATAAATGCAAAGACCTTAAAATGTAATATATATTTTTACCATAATCAATCGTATGTTTGTCGTAAAAGATTTAATACAGTACAAAGTTCGTAATCCTTGCATCCATTATCCGGAATGATCTATAATCCGGACCTCAAAGCCACAAACTTTTTTTTGGTATGCTTTACGCATGCAAGTGTAATGTTTACGCGTGCACGTTTAGCACAAAAAATGAAGCAACTTAAACAACTTACATTGAAAGAAATGTTTAATAAAGTAAACAAATAAATATTAAGATTTTTTTTAAAATTTTGATACCCTTTAGATCATAATTGCTCTTTATTTCATAAATTACTGTTTCATATTTTTAATTGTATAATTTCTGCATGCCATCTTACCAGATTTAAATCGATGATCTACAAGGGGTGATCAAATGAAAAAGTACAAAACGACGTAAAAATATAACAGTTAAATATTTGCATATTCCGCCATGGGAGAACGTAGCGAGGCATCTTGGGATGAGATTGGAGTCTCTGACTGGGATTGGAGCATGAGCAGGTTGCCCGCATGCACAGGAAAGAGCAGAGGCTCTTATCAAAAGCGGCATCCAAATTATGCGGCAGTTCGTATGAGGACAGGATGGCGTTCGCATTGCAAAATTCGACGGCTGAGGAGCAGTGAAGCATTATCCGATTTCTGACAGCGGAAGGTGAGAAACCGGCAGCTATTCATCGCCGGATGGTGACAGTTTTACGGAGAGAAATGTGTCTCTGACAAGCTTGTCAGAAAATGGAGTGCTCGTTTTCATGCAGGCCGTGAGAGTGTGGGTGATGACCCGAGACCAGGCCAGGCAATCACTGTCATCACGAGCGATCTCATCGACAAGGTAAACGACCTAGTGAGAAGTGATTGGCGTGTCACATTGCGAACGTTAGCAGTGAAGGTGGATGTCAGCTATGGAACCTTGTGGACTTGTGGGTTCCGAAGCAGCTCACCGACCAGCGAAAGGAACTTCATATGGAGCTAGCACTGCAACATCTGTTTCGGTATCAGGAAGACCTGATTGTCACAGGCTGTGAGACCTGGTGCCATCATTACGAGCCAGAGACAAAGCGGGACAGCATGTAGTGGAAGCATGTGTCGTCAGCTCCCCCTGAAAAGTTCAAAGCCGTGCTGTCAGCAGGCAAGGTGTTGCTCACCATTTTTTTCGACGTTCAAGGTCCTCTACTAGTGGAATTCCTCGAGCACAAAAAAAAAAAAAAACCACTAACTCTGATGTGTACTGTGAGACACTCTGAAGCCTACGCAGGTCCATCAAGAACAAAAGACCGGCGCTGCTCACAGAGGGTGTGGTTTTGCTCCATGATAACACACGTCTCGATGTCTCCAGAGTCGCACATATGGAACTGGCCAAGTTCAAGTGGGAGACGTTGAACCATCCGCCCTACAGTCCGGACATGTCGCCCTGCGATTTCCATGTGTTTGGTCCACTGAAGAAACACCTGAAAGGGAAGCGCTTCAACTCGAACGACGTACTCAAGGATGCTGTGAAGGACTGGATGTCGTCACAGCACAGGAATTCTGGGAACAAGGAATCCTGCAGTTTGTTCATCATTGGGATCATTGTGCTCAGGCCTATGGTGTATATTTTGAATAAAGTCTACACTTGTACCGTGTCATTTCGCACCTTTTCATTTGATGACCCCTTTTATAATCCGGAAAAACCCCTGGACCGGAATCGCCTGACGAGTCCGAATTACGGACTTTGTACTATACTTTATTTCAGCAAAGCTGTTCATGGATTGAAAGAACTATAATTAAAATGCATGAATTGATAAAATGATAATTTTTATATTAACATTGTCTAACATAGTTTTTATTATGTAAAAAAGAATTTTGAAAAATTGAGAGCTCATTTTTTCTTTGTTTCATTTCAGAATTTTATTGCTGATTTTGCTACCACAAGCAATGAAAATGTGTTCCAGAGTCCTGAGAATGTGAAATTGCTGAATCAGGTTATAAGCGAACATTTTCTCAGGCAAGGAATGCTTGAAATCGCTGAAGAGTTAATTAAAGTAATTTTTTTTTCCTTTAAAGGCAAATATTTTCAAGCTGTTAAAATTTGGGTAATCATATAGTATGTGATCTACAGCTTTAAGTTAAATAGTTATTTTTTAGATGGTACACTGAAATTATTTGTTGTTGTTGTTGACAGGTCATTTCTTTATCTTGCCATTTTGTCAATGCTCAGATTTAAAAATAGCATTTTAATGCCATCATCTAAGAAATAACTAACTAAAAGCAGTAGATTGAATACTACATGATATCCAAAATTTGTTTTTTCTTCTGTAAAATACAGTAAACCCTCTCTAAGACTGTTCATAATGATTTTGACCTTCTGTGGAGGTTGTTATCTTAAAGAGATTGTTGTCATGAGAGGTTTCACTGTATTTGCATTTAAGTGGTGATATATAATTATATACATTTCATTTATTACTTTTTCAAATAAGTATCTGCACAAAATTATATTGCAAAATGTGAAATTACATTCCAACGCGATCTCTAAAAACTGTTATTTATATAAAACATTAATTAAAAAAACTTTAAGTTGCATAAAGCTTATGAGAGTTAAATGCTCAATCACGGGAACCTTTCAGTTTGCATTTCAATTGTCTAAAACTAAATGTGTGTATTATGAAAATATTTCCCACTATGAAAATACTTTTTACAAGGTAACTGCATGAGATTTCACAGATGCTCATAATCCTGAGACAGCCATGTCACTGAATGAAAAATTAAAGTTTCAGGATTATTTTTTTCTTCGCTTTAAAAAAAGAGTTAAACCAAGAAAAATGCAAACACAATATTAAACGTATTCATGCCAGAGCATTTAAATGGTCTGTTCGGAACTAAAGAGGAGAATAATTCTCATCAGGATGGTTCTGCAGATGCTTTCCATCCACTGTAATCACAGCAGGAAATGCTACTCTGTAGATTAGCTTGAAACTGAAGATAAAGAGCGAAAGAACTTATTACTTTTCTGCAAATCGAGAACACCCAGAGATCTAATTGAGAAATGTTAGCATCCTTTTTTTTAAACTGCTTTTATTTCAGAAAATTGTTTTCTAGGTAGATATGCCATCTTCCTGCTGATGAGCTTAGAAAACTACCAAGATTGGTGCAAATTATGTTTAAAAATATAGTAATGGCAAAGTGTGAAACGTTTCACAAAATATTGTAGGCGATGAAATGTAAATGTAGTGTGTTAGAAAAGTTACTATACTTTTGCCATGCTTGAGTACAGTATTTAACATTGACTTAATCCTTAACAATTGTTATTGGAAATGGCACTCTTGAGCATCTGTAAATGTTTATTCTTGTTCTTAAAGATTCTTATTAACATAATTCTGAGCACACATGGAAAAGCGTGGTCTTGTTAAAATTATTGTTATATAAATGAAAAAGTAAGAACTAGACACACTTTATCATGTCAAGGTTGCAGGTTAGACAAACTTATGGAAGTACTTAATAATCTTGCACATGGCTAAGTGTCGTGACACTTAAGCCGACAAGACACTTAAGCAACAGCTGTTATCTGACAGGTCATTTAGCCGACACGGACATTTAGCCAACCAGACATTTTGCCGACATGGACAGTTAGCCGACACAGACATTTAGCCGACACGGACATATAGCTGGCAAGGCATTTAGCCAACATGGACACTTAACCAACAGGACATTTAGCTGACACGGACATACCGCTGACGTTAACAAGTAGTTGACATGAACATTTAGCCGACAAGATATTTAATTGATAGCAAGTTTGCTGACAACACATTTAGATAGCAGCACGTTTGGCAGATTGCTTGCATTTAGACAAGAGCATGCGTTAAATTTTGTCCTTATATCTCCGACAAATATTTAATATTTCTATAAATCAAAAACTTGCTCTAATTCTAAATGAATTAACTTTTCAAGTCCCTTTTTTCCTCCCGTCATCAAAAATTCTGTTCTTAAAGATCCCATATCTGTGTTTCATTCTTGCTTGATTTAACATATCGGACTGAAAAAGCTCTGGAATTTCTCATTAGGGAATATGAATCATATTTTCAAAAAGGAGAATTAAATTTTCAACAGTAAATCATCAAAAGTCACTTATTTACATTTTCACTTTGTATCTGCATTAATTATTTACAGAGCTTCTTCTTAGTAAACTGGGGTTCTCTGAATACTTAGTATTAACAAAACTATTTGCTTTTTATTTAATGACATTAATTTTCTTGTATTTCTTTTCCTATCGCTTTCAAAATTATATCTGTTACCTTTTTCCATGTTTCGATCTCGCAACATTCGTCTCGCTCCTCCCACTAGTGAAATTTCCTTTCCCTGAGTGTATATTTTACATAACCAACAACCAGTGCTTCCAAATGCAAATTGCATTTATAGGCTACATTTCAATAGATATGATGGTACAAAATGAGAAGAATGTTCCAAATTTGAATAATGAAATAAATTATTCTTGACTTATATATTTTATGAAAATATTTGAGTGGAAGGTTTGTTTAGTAAATGTATTTTGTCATTAAAAATAATAAAAAAGATAATTTTTAAGATTCTAGTTATCGATAGGGCACCTTTCAGATTCATTGTGACCTGTGTAAGAGGCTGTTCATGCTAGCATTCTTGAGATAAAAATAAGCAAGTCTATTTAAGTCATGGTATCTTACATGCCTTTGCAACCATTTTTACCTGAAATATTTCATCATATTGAGACAGCCGAACTACTGTATATTTTTATTGGGGGGAGGGGGGAATGTGTATGTGTACACATATATACATATGTTCTGCAGCTTTTAGCAAAAACAAATATTACATAGCAAAAGGAGCAAAAACAAAATATATGCTTCTTTCGCCTCGAAAAAAGGGGTAAGACAAACTCTAGGAACAACTCGTTTTATTTCTAAAAGTAGGTTTTGTATGCACTAAAATCTAAGGGGTTGCCTCATTCTGTGCTAAATAAAGCAAATTTTTGTCACCTTTGTGACATTAAAAGTCTTGGATTTAAATAGACGACTCTGTGACACCTTCTTTTATTGACCACACCTCTTGCTTAAAATAATTATTTAGTTTGATGCTGATAGAAATAAATAGTTGCATAATGCTAATTTAAAAGTGAAATATTTTGAAAAGTTTTGTTTTAATCAGAACTGAATCATTTTTCCAAAAATAAAATTTTCATCTTAACATTTCATAAAAGTTTCAGAAAAGGTGCTGCCATCCAACTGTAGCTATACTTAATTTTATTTTCTATCCTGCCCACTAAGTGATTTCGATCGAGTTGTGCGGACACATTTTGAGCCATAATGCGGATTTCACCATGCTTGAGTTTTGAAAAGTGTTCTGTCAATGACACATAAGATTAGCCTGGGTCCTGACAACATTAATTATCTAATGATTAAGCATTTGCTCAGTATATTCTTGGTGGTTCTTTTTACTCTTTATAACATTTCTTGGAAGGAGCATATTTTCCCTATAACCTGGAGAAAACCTTTTATCATCCCTAATACTAAAGCGAGGTAAGGACCGATCAGTTACCAACATTTGCATTTACAAGCTGCCTGCGAGTTTTCGAAAAAATAGTTACCTGCTGCCATATATATCATCAGAGCAAGATAGTATCCTTTCTCGCTATCAAAGTGGTTTGTGCAGAATTGATCAACAACTAATAACATTTTATTTTTGGAGGCAGCTATTTGAAATGCTTTTGTGAAAAGGAGCTATGTAGTTTCCTTTTTTTTAAAACAGAAATTGCCTATAAAACCTGGAGGTATGGCATACTCCAAGACCTATAATAACCCCCTGTATATGACAGCCTGCTAGTTTTTGTATAGAAATTTTTGGTGTGTCAGAACTTTCAAAGTAAAGTTAGGTTCTCTGATGTCTGATAAAGTAATTCAAGATGAGGATGTGCCATAGAGATGTGTGCTGTGTGTTACACTTTTTAGCCTCAAAATTAATTACATTTTAATTTCCTTCAACTATAAGTGGAGTACAGTCAAAAGTCGTTAATCCGGACTCGTCGGGACTTCGGCGATTAGGGATTATCGATTTTTCCGGATTATAGATCATCAGTTTAAATCTGGTAAAATGGCATGAAGAAATTATAAAATTAAAAATATGAAACCGTAATTTACAAAATAAAGAACAATTATGATCTAAAGTGTATCAAAATTTACAAAAAAAAAAAAAAAAAAAAAAAAAAAAAAAAAAAAAATAAAAAGAGCTTAATATTTATTTGTTTACTTTATTAAACATTTCTTTCAATGTAAGTTGTTTAAGTTGCTTCGTTTTTATGTGATAATACATTCTCTTTAATTCTATAAACATACATAATTTCTTGTTCAGTTACAAAGTTCCGCTGTTCAAGTCCTATAATTGCTGTGTCGAGAATACCGACTAATTTGTCAATCGAAATTTTTTCGTTTTCAATAACCTCTGTTACTTTCTTCGCAGCGAATTATGATGACGAGGCATTTGATTTAAATTATATCAAAGACGGAGTATATCGAAATGAAATACTACATTTAGTAAGCAATTATAAGCCAAATAAAATAAAAACATCTGCCCTGAAGATAAGGATAGTGCTGACAGATCAACTTCCAATTCATTGCGCACGGCGTTAAAGATAAACAAAGTTTAGATAAACAAAGGATATGCCTTTATCCATTTTTTGAAGCAATTCCACTTTTTGTTTAATGTACTCCGAAACGTACTTCCACTTTGTAGATCCGTTACATATTAGTAAATATAAACCGAAAATTCTATTTGACATAATCGAAAGTTCAAGCTTACTTTTATAAAATTGCTCTAACAGTCTGCAAAAAATAACAAGCCGGATCCAATTCGAAGATTAAGGAACAACGCAATCTGCAACATTAACTGAAATAGATAATTAGTATTTAGCTTATACCGTTTTACTTTATACGCTTTATTAGCTTATACAGAAAGTTTGTAGCTTTGAGGTCCGGATTATGGGTGTCCGAATTAACGACTTTTGACTGTATTATAGTGATCGGATGAGAACCGATACTTTCAGCATGGTATGGCCATTGACATGGAGTATTATAGTGGATGATTTCCAGATAAGCTGCCAAGGTGCAAAAATATGTTGCATAGAAAGACAATTGCAGAGTGCTTTGAACAAGATTGTTGACTGGGCAAATAAAGAAGGAATTAAATTTTCTAACTACAAGGAACATTTGTGTTCATTTTTGTTGTAATGGAAACCTGCATCCTGATTCACAGCTTCATCTGAGAGATGCTTGATTCCAGTGTTATCATAAATAAAATTTTATAGTCTCGTATTTGATAGGAAGCTAACTTTCCTACCTCAAATTATATATTTAAATAATAAATATTTAAAACTTCTAAATCTGACTTAAGTTCTTTCCAGTACGTCTTAAGTTGCAGATTGCTCTTCAGTTCTCCACATCCACAAGGCACTAATTAGACTGCAATCTGTCATTTGTGATGCAGCATGGCCTTCTGTGTTGACTTGGTGTGAGCCCCCATATACCACCAAGCTGTATGGATCTGCTTAGGTGCTTTCAAGACCTCCCTAATGCAAAGCTTATATGCAGAATGTTGAACCATCATTAAAATTAAAGTGTGATTAAAGAATGTTATTTATTATTTTGAAGTCATATCTCATCCCTGGTTCCCTACTCATTCCCTACGGGATGATTTTTGTTTTCCTCTGTACCAAGCAAGGGCACCTTATATTCCCTCTTTAGTTTGCAAATTTGCTGATATTTTGAAAAGTATTCACTGAATGATTTGAAACTTAAAACTGATAAGGGTTTCATTATTATTTTATAGAAAAATGCAAAAATAGAACTCCTGAATATTTTCAAACCTTCTAAAAAGAGTGATACTAGGGAAATTATATGCAAATAAATCTTCTTTGAACATAGAAATATTTACAACCTTTATTTACTGATGGATTAAAATCCATTGATCATGTTGGACTGACATTGGCTTATGGCTGTATTATTGAGGGCAGTTGATTGCACAAAGCGTGCTCTATTTTTTTGGCTGAAATTATTTCTGTTGATTAAGTACTTTTATTTATTTCAAAACAATGGAGAAAAAGGAAATTTATCCTTTACACACTGAGTGCACTCAAATCATTAGAATCTCGAGGTCATTCACAAAATCCTTTGCTGTTGGAGGGTATTAAATTTTTATTTAGATCTTGCATTGTTGGATTGCTGGCAGTGTTAGTATAATAAGCAATGAACTTGAAGACATTGCTGCCAGGTCTGCTGATGCCATCAATCTACCTGATTCCCATTATCCCCTTATACAGACATCATAAAATATATAAAATGGCAAAATTTTTGTTGTTGTAGCACTGGAAAGTTGGAGTAACACTGGAAGGTACAAATAAATAAAGTATGGTAAGTGAAGCCTGAAATAAAGTGTTGGGTTAAAAAAAAAAAAAAAAAAAAAAAAAAAAAAATTGAAAGAAGTATTGGCATGCTAATAGATTGGTGATTCTCAGATTACACATTAGTACCTGAAAGAGAGAATGCCCCAATCTGTGTAAACTGTAATGCTACATTAACTGTGGTTCATATTTTAAATGATTGTCCAAATTTTAAATTTCATATGTTGAAACAGTTTGTCTCCATCTCCAGAAATCAATCCTCATTTTAATTTGTTTGACTTTTTGAAAAAATCTGGTTTATACTATAAACTGTAAAATTTAAAATTTTAGAGTTATATTTTTTAATGCAGAGTAAAGTTTTTAACTTTGCTGAAATTTTAAGCTAGTATAAATTATTTTTAATTACTGTACTAGGATATTTGAGTTGATGGTTGTTTTTAGAATTTTTCAATTTCAATTTGTTCTTTCTATTATCATGGCATATACCTTTTAACTTGTTGCATCTTGACCTGGCAGATTATGCTCCATAAAATACCACCATCCAGGTATATCATGCTGATGCATGTGCAGTTGAGGCCAGGAGAATTTCTGTGACAGTTTTTGGGTTGATCATGTAGCTTGAATTAGGCCTTGTAGTGTATTTGGAGTCTCTTGAGACCGGTCTGAAAGTTTAGGATTTTTCTCTTAGATCTCCCATATATTTTTATGCTTATTCTTTTTTGATGGAGGAGGAGTGTTTCAGATGGACAATGCAATATGCCACTGAATGATTTTAGGAATACTTCTCAGACTTTACTTCAATGACTTGGTTTCAGCAGATTTTAACCCAAAGCCCTCTGGATTATGTATAACTTTCACTTTTAAATTAGGTACAAAAAATGGATCGACCTAATTCATTTGTAATTCAGTAATCCATACTGTGCAAGATTTGTGGGTGATCATTCCTTTCACGTAGTTTCTTTAATGTGTTTTTACTCCATGCCTCAACTTCTGAAGGCAATTCTTGGGATATAAAGTGGCATGAATCATTACTGAGCATGTGGCATGACTTAAAGTGGCATGAATCTTCTGACTTAACAGCACAAACTTGCTTATAACAGAAGCTTTTAGTTTTAAAACAGTTTTTAATTGTTATATTTTATTACTAAATATAATAATAATATAATTTTAATTATTAAATACTTTTAAATGTGATCTTATGATGAATTGCAATGTTCTTATATTCTAATTTTCTTGATATTAGGAAACAGGCCTCCAAATGGAACAGAACAAAAGGGAACCATTCTCAGAATTAAACAGAATACTAGATGCATTAAAGAGAAGAGATTTGGAACCTGCTCTTTTGTACGTAAATATTTTTCTGTTAGAATGCTTTCCAAAAATTAAAAATGTAATAATAAATTTGACATAACCTAAAAATTATGCTGTGATTGATTCATATTTTCACATGAGGGCAATTCAGCTGTATTCATTATGCAATTCAGCTGTATAGTTATAACTAAAAAGTTATAGTAAATTAAATGTATTCAGATATACTTGTTATCATTTATGTATGTACATCAAGTCTAGTACTTTATTAATTTCCTAGCAAGCTGTGCAAATGAACAAAACTTACCTTAGTAAAGGATATGAATCTCTCTGTTCTGTATGAAAGCCCTGCAGTTGCATTTCATATCTTCTAATTGCTGTAGTATACAGGAAGTCATTGCCATTCTTGAAAAGTTTTGAGCTCTTAAAATGGTTAGAGGGGTACAAAGACAAAGGCAGCATGTTTAGAAGCATCCCAAAGAATTGGTGCAATTTGGATGACTATGGCACCATTCCATGCAAGTAATATAACCTAAGTAGATAATACATAGAAACTGAAGGTCTTTTGTTCATGGCTGTGCTTTATCATATGTAAGAATAAATGCTGGGCCAACTACTACAATATATAATCACACAGTGGGATTCAAGGACTTCATCCCAGTACCTTTGAGCCATCATCATACATCTTGTGAAGATATGCAGCGAATACCAAGAAAATGCAGCATCAAGATTATGTCATCATCGCAGAAAGAACAGCATTCAGTGATATTACTAGACTTGTGTATTCTTCCTCCTCTGCACATATAATATTAAGTACTTAAATTTTGACTCTCTGGCAAACAGTAAGTTGAACCGTTTAGCTGCTTTCTGATTTTTGTGTTGATGATACCATTTCAAGTGTGCTCCTTTGGCTTTAGTGCTTAAAGAAGCAAAATCTTGGTACCTGTGTGCCACAGTAGTTACAAATATTGACCTGCCAATCGTTATAGTGACCATTGCTGTTTGATTGATGAGATTGACCATTGCTGTTTGATTGATGATTAATATCAGTTGAATTCAGCTAATAAAGCCATTGCATTAACATTTGACTAACTAGGAACAACTAGAAGCCAAACCAAAATGGTGACACCTGGTGCTGAAGAAATATGGCAAAACAAAAGAGAGTGAAATGGTATGCCTTTAAAGAAAAAGAACTGGGAATTATTCTTATTAATGGAATATGAGAAATGCTAAATGAAGATAATGTAGCTGAAGTCTTCATTGTAATGTCATTACCCCAGTTTTCAAACGAGCAACAGGTGGCAGAATTAGTAGAATGGTTTTAAATCTAGAAAATATCACCACTGATAATGAAAGTGATAAAAACGTTTTTGTTGAGATTGAAAAGCTTTCAGTTAGATCTTTAATAGGAACTCTGGAGATGGCAGTTACAGAACCTTGAGCAGGGCAACTGTGTAACTGAAGAAATTGTCTTTTTATATAATTAACAAACTTGCTTAACCAATTTATATTGAAAAAACAAAATAATTAATATACTCGAGTTCTTTTTGTAAATTTTGATTAACTTAAGGTCATAAATGCTTCATTATTTCGCAACCAACCATTTCATATTTTTAATTTAATAATATCTGCATATCATTTTACTATATTTAGGTTAATTTAAAATGCAGAAATTCTAGAAATTTATTTTCGTCAAAGTCATGACTGTTCTGTATCTCAGACTGTGTAGTGAATCCTCTCATGACATCTACCTCCCATAAATGCAACAATTGCCCAAATGTGACCAATCCTGAAAGTGACTGGTACTCCTGAGAATATAAACATTGATACTAAATATCATCTTTTTAAAAAAGCCACCTCAATAAAGATCAAAATCTTCTGGAACTATGGTTGCTTATCTTAGAGAAGGCTCATTATAATTGTGTTTGAATAACTTTTACCAGTTGATTTATCATGTATTAGATATTTATTTAGGAAATGTGTGATGAATTTTTTAACCTTCAATTATTCAATTAATTTATACTTTAAATATATTTTTAATGTACTCTAATTTATACTTTTGGTAATTTTAGTTACTTTTATGCTTATGACTATTTTTCAGCTGGGCTCAATCAAATAGGAAGAAATTGTTGGAACAAAACAGTTCTTTGGAATTCAGACTTCATAGATTACATTTTATTGATTTATTACAACAAGGAATATTTAAGCAAGAAGAAGCTATAAGTTATGCTCGAAAGAATTTTCAGCATTTAGCAATACAACATGAAAAAGGTATTATTTCTATAATAAGGATCTAAAAGATAATTGTTATAAAAATAAAATCAAATTGATATTTGTTGTATGCTTTCAATACTGCATAAAAAGTAGTTATAAGAATTATATAGAACTTATAATTTAACCATTTGGCTCACAATAATGTTTATGGTATTTCATTTATTATTATTGTAAAAACAGGTTTTTATGTGTCTTAGATGCTATAAAATCATTATTAGTTTCATGTGAAATTTCTCTTTTTTTGGTGGGGTGGAGGGGGAGAGTTAGATATGAAAAATTTAAATACGATTTTCAATAACAGTTGTCTAATTTTAAATTTAATCATATTTTAAGCACATCAACTTTTAATTTTATTTGTATGTCAAGGTATTATTAATTAGTAAAATTAAACTTCCACTTGGCAATAATTTAAAATGAAAAAGTGTAATGCATTCTGAGATTCATTTGATATGGTGTGTATCAATGAGCATTCTACACCAAATAGAAAGAGTGAATTTTTTTTTCTTTCTAAATGCATTCAGGGATTAGACGCCTTTTACCATACTTAATAAATCAAGAAATCGCATACAATAAGTAGTACAGTAGAGCGTAATGGAATTCACACTTTATGAAATATATATAAATGTACTGTTAAGGATTTTTAGATATGTTGATCTTGTCTTCCTGTTTAGTCCATAGATGCCTTACTTTAATCACATATTCTCTCTTCAGATATCCAAGTTCTAATGGGAAGTCTTTTGTACTTAAGACAAGGAGTTGAAAATTCACCGTACAGTTATCTGTTAGATCCGATACATTGGGCTGAAATCTGTGATATTTTTACTAGAGATGCCTGTGCTTTACTTGGTTTATCTGTGGAAAGTCCGTTGGCAGTTTGGTAATTTGTAATTTATTTTCAAATAAGTTTAATAATTAGAATTTTGTTTTGTTTATTTTTGTAGGTTCAAGTAGTATGAAGAAAATTTATCATATGCTGTTCTTTTTTCGACCATTAATCATCATTTCTGCTGTTAAGTGTGGCTGTAATCTCTCATTTAGGTACCTTACTAGTAGGCTTTATCAGTAGTGAGTCGGTCAAAGTTGCCGAATGATAGTAGTTTATCCTGGATTCTACTGAAATATAAATTGGATGCACAGGGTTTTCATGAATTTCTCGTAGCATAATGTAAATAAAAACCAGTTTTCTTCGGATAATCTTTCATGAAGACATTTCTCCGAAGGCAGACGGCCCTTTCATGCTTTTCCATAATCAACTGATGGAGCAGCCATCCCGTCACATTTTTGCAAAAAGTAGAGATTTTTGAATCAGGTTTTTATGTGAAGATTCTATAAAATAGTTGTGTGAAAATATTCATGGTTTATGCCAGCAAGCAAGGTTTTTTGCAATTAAGGCTTTAGAAAGCATGAATAAAGGAATATTGTTTACAGATGAGATGAAGCTGATGTACTTTTCAAATAAATATAAGCAGAAAGGCATGTTTAGGCTAACTTTGGAAGTTAAAAAAAAAAAAAAAAAAAAAAAAAATTCTCTTTGTGCATTTTCCAGTTTCAGACAGTGTGTGAATATCCATGAAATTTAAAATGCTAGAAAATATTTTCCAGTTGTTTTGTGCTTCATTTTGCCTGCATTTTCTTAGTAGAACAATACAGAATGCTAAATTTTGGTACAGTATGCATGGCATCTCTGAAAAATTGATGAAATATGTTTATTTTCTCTCTTTTGCTTGGTTCCTTATTGTCAGCATTACTTAATGACAAATATGGCTCAAAAATTTTAGGGAACAGAAGTTTATTTATCAGTTTCAGATTTTGGATAGTTGACTCTTCCCCTTTGTTTTCTTCATCTCCTCGTCCTCTACTTTATTTTCATTCCATCTTTTCTATGAGATGTTACAATACCATTAAGAATTCTATCTGTTGGTTTCAATAAGTTTTCAATATATACAGTTAAAATACTTGATATATAGTGATACTTCGTTATCTGTTTGCTTTGAAAGTCCTATTTTGGAAAAAATTTTTGTTTGGTATACAGCTTGAGTTCAGTGAGTCACAACTGTGTGTACTACACTTGTTTACCTCTTTCAAGATAATGCTGCATGAACGTCTACGTCCTTGTTGCTAATATTCAGTAAACAACTCATGCTATAATTCTGAATTTTCAAGTGATTTTATTTTTTTTTTATCTTATTTATTTATTTATTTTTAGTTAAAATTTTTATAAATTCATTACTAGTGAATTTTAAGAAAGCTTATAAAAAGAATCAAGCAACAAAGAAAAATGTTAAGATTTCCATGGATGTGAAAAAGTAAGTTTTGAAAAGTACAAAAAAAGCATGCATATTCGTGACTTTGCTATGAAATCAACAAATGTTTTGAAGGGAATGAAATCAATTACCAATCAAAGATCAGAGATGTTAGAGCAAGTTGAAAATTTCTAGATAACAAAAAAGCATTTATGTACAGTATCATGTGCAGTGCGTCATTTATGTTAAGTGTATGTTTCACCCACTGCATTTTAAATATTCATTATTAGTTTTAAACTGTATTATAAAAATAATAAAAAAAAATTAAAGAGCAGTTTAATTATATTATTTTTTATTAGAAAAGTTCATTTAGTATATTTCCAATAATGTGAAATGGATTAATGATGTAGTATACCAAGGTACCACTGTTTTGCTAGAATTAAAACATTTAAATTTGTGTACTTTTTCTGATACTTCTGATATCTTTGGTACCCTAGGTAATTTATTGCCTAAATTCACTTTATGAAAAAAATAAAATCATTTTTGGCTGTATAGAGGAAATTTATGTGATTCTATTTTTAAATGTCTTGTGAATTGCCTTCAAAATGCTTGACACTTTTAACCTCTCTGTCTTTTTTTTTTTTTTTTTTTTTTTTTTTTTTTTTTCCAGTACTAATGCTGGCTGCATAGCTTTACCAGCTCTGTTAAATATAAAGCAAGTAATGCAGCAGAGGTTAGTTACAGGTGTATGGAATACATGTGATGAGTTACCTGTAAGTATAATTTCACATAACTACAAGAATATTGTAATATTTATATCTTCTTTCAGTGAATCCTATGCAAATTCATAGTAAAACTTTGCTGTCAAATTAATTACAAGTGAGTACATGTTTTTATCTGTGAGTGTTTAGTGTCCAGTGTGCGTCCCACTGTAATCATAAGCAGTGAGTTATAGTGAATTCTTTCTTAGATAACCACATATGATTTTACATAAATTTGGTTTTTTACAAAGTTGGTCACTTTAGAAGGGTCATGTTTGATAGCAATATTTATTAAAAATTCTTTTATTATATCATCAGTCATTTGTAGAGGTAGTCTGTCACAAGGATGGCATAATCAATTGCATGAAAGCGCCACAATCAAGTTTTATATAAGTGTTCATAAGTTGGATGTTATATAATCACAGTTTAAAATACCATGAATTCTCTTGTGGCAACAAGTTTTGAAAGTTATGAATATTTTTTTAGAACATAAATATGCATCAGTATTGAACATTTGCTTAAGAGGTCATTTCTCTGAGATAAACTTCTTCACATTCTGACTATCCACATACCTGGCAAATAATTGCAAAAAGTATTCATGAGGCAATGAAGTAGATTGCCAGAACAGTTATGTGATAACCAAAGTATATGCACAGCACATCTATTTTAACAGGCATATAGTGCTGTAATTGTATGGATTCCAAATTTGTACAATTCTTCTTCTTCTTCTTCTTTTTTTTTTTTTTTTTTTTTTTTTTTTTTTGTTGGAAATGGATTGTTGCATACATGGAGAGAACAAGAGCACAAGAAAGGATGATTTCTTTAAAAAGTTAACTTTTAACTGTAAATGCTTTTTAATTTATAAATTTTATTGACCGATTGCTCTTGTATTCTTAGCACACTATCATTTTAAAAATGGCTGTTTTCACCCTTGAGCTCTTGTCAAATAGTTAATCAGCAACACGTTTATCACTTTCATTAGAAAGTACCGGAAAAGTACCGTGATGATCATCTTAAAAAGGATTAATAGGATTAATTGTCTGTAATTATATTTATTGTGTTATTTACTTCCATATGGTCCCTCCTTTGCTAGTTTTTACGAATTTCATCCTTTGAAACTCTGAGTAGAAGATTATACTGATGTGTCCTACTTCTGATCAGCAAAGGAGCATATAATAGTAGATGTTCTAATATTGATTATATTATTGGTTATATATATATATATTATTGATTATATCATGTATTGATATATTATTGTATTCTATATTTCACACAAGTGTCTTATAGTTATTAATTTCAATATTATTCCTTTTATTCATACATTTTACTTTGCTATCAATTGATATTTTGCATCTTGTGATTATAACTTTGGAGTTTCTTAATTGTATGTTGAAAAATCTGGGGGGAGGATATGCAAATAAATATGGTATGTAATTGTGTATATATGTATATATATAAAAAACAGGATGATTATAAAATAATGAGGTGTTCAGAGTCCTCTACTGAATAAAGTGCTGGATGAAACATAACCAAAATTGATAAGCATGCATAGTGGACCATCGGATTTCAGTTTCTGGGAAAGAAAAAAAAAAAAAAAAAAAAAAAAAAAAAAAAAACACTTTAAATGCTAATAAATAAATAAACTGCATTAATTTTCATAATTGCATATCGTGTAGCAATCATAAGCAGAAAAGTAAAGGCTGGAAGAATTCTCAGCATTTTGAGATCAACTGCCTTTTGGCTGTTACCTTATGGGACTGTGCTTTGTTAGTCAAGCTGTATTATCAGTGGAACGAGAATGCTAGTGATGCCCTTCATAAATTTTGACAGTTAAAGAAGTTGCAAAAAGAACCTATGGGCATAACATATCTATGAATCATTATTTAACAGTTTGAAACTGCAAGAACTCTAGCACAGCAACCAGATGAGGAACACATAGTGATTAGTTAGCAATAAGTTGAAAAAATTGCAGCTGCTATTGTCAAACAGAAGATGGCAGATGTGCAGGGTATCAACAGTGCTTGGGTAGTATCTCGGCACATACAGATCCCATACTTAACGTTTCAGAAGATCCTGCATTAGATGTTGAAGTTTTACTTGTATAAAATTTCTTCTATTCAAGAATTGCACCCTTACATTGTGGCCACCCAATTTGATTTTCCATTGATATTCTTAGCGCACATGCAAGTTGATGGAACTTAGTTTGTGGGAGATTTTATGCAGTGACAAAGCACACTTTTGTTTGAACAGTGGTATTAACATACACAACTGCTACATTTGGTCTGTGAATAATCTGCAAGCTTATATGCAGGAGTCTCTCCTCTCACGGAAACTCGCAGTGTGGTGTGGCTTTACAGCATCTTTCATCATCAGTCCTTACTTTTATGAAGACAATCATGTAAGTGGACCGGTGACCTGTACTGTTACTGCTGACAGGTATGTCAGTATGTTGTAGAACTTCGTGGTTTCACAACTGCAGCAACAAAGATTTCTTGATTCGACAGTATTCATGCAGGATAGTGCACCATCCTACATTGAATTTAAGGTACAGCATATATTGAGACTCTATTCTGACAGCAGATTCATTACTCGTGCATTTCCTATGCCACCGAGGTTGCCGATCTCAATCTTAGTGACTTTTGATTGTTTCAATTTCTTAGAGGTGTTCTGTATCAAGCACTTGTCCCTGATATCACTACTTTTAAAAGATCGAATAATGTTAGAGGTAAAGCAAATTAATTCCGATATGTTGCGAGTTGCTGTGGCAATGTATGCAGTTCTTGGAACATCGCAATGATGGTAACTTTGAACCTCATTTGTAAGTAACAAACAATTGTTTATTAAATTGATGTGTAATGTGTCGTTTGGCATTTAAATGATTCATTATTCACACTAATATACTTTTGCAGCAACAACATTTTCTCTGGTAATGACTTTTGGTACTTTTTCTTTTAGAAATTAAAATCCCAGGGTCCACTATGTATGCCCATCAAATTTGGTAATGTTTTGTCCAATATATTACTTGCTAGAGGGCTCTGAATACCTCATGTTATTTTGTAACTACTCTGTATATATGCACAATCAATGTTGTGTGTAATCATGGCTTTCAAGATGAATTTGAAATTGATAGATTTGAAAGGTCTCTACTTTACAAAACAAGCATTTTTTGCTGGATATACTGATATAACAATATCTGCTTTGCAATGTGGTTCCATGCAGAAACCACATTGCAAAACAGATACCATGTATAATATATTTTACCATTATCCATGCTTTAAAATACATTTAAATAGCCTTGTAATAAATTAATTGCATAATTTTCACTGGAGTTCTGCTATTGAAGGCCTGGTGGTGCAGTGGCTAGCACATGTCACATAGCAACACCACAGGTAGGGGTTTGATCCCAGGGCTGGGCAAGATTGACTCAGCCTTTCATCCCTTGAGTGGGTCGATAAAATGAGTACCAAGGTCACTTGGGGACTAAACATCAGGGGTCCTGTGACAAGCTGACCACTTATTCAGGGAATATGCTTATGCACTTTGGGGCCCACGGTCAGGAAAGCAGCTATAGGGGCACTGCAGGCTATGGCCCACTAGGGCTTGTTGGACCTTTGAGTTTAATAGTTCTGCTATTGAAACTTCAAAACAAAATTATTTCAAATCATGACTGAAATCATTTCTCTTAAAAATAATGGAAATTACTGGTAGACATAATCCTTTTGTAAATTATTTAACTATACAGCACAAAATATTTTCTTTCTTGTACTTGCACTAATGGCCAAAAGTTAACATAAGATAGCATAAACCTGTTTATTGAATGTTTACAATATTTTGATAGTATTTAGATTGCTGTATTTAATTTTATTAGAAATGCTTAGTTTATAGCTTCATTAAATTTGCATGAAAAAAATTTTCATCAAATTATACTTTTAAGTATTAATAAAAATTAAGAATGCAAAGGTTAATGCTTATTAATTTTTTTCCTAATTAGTTTCTGCTATTGATAGGGTTATTATACAAAGTAAATTTAAAAAAGAAAAAAAAAAAAAAAAAAAAAGAATACAGTCTGATAAGATACAGTTTGCTTAGTTTGCAAATTTAAAAACTTTAATGAGAAGTAATCTTATTCTAGATTTGCAGTATCAGTTTTAGGACTTGCAGTTCTTTTTGAAAATTTTTACTCTCCTTAAATTTTTTTCCAAATGATATAATTTTGTATGTTACTTGAATGATTAGAAGAGTCGATATTATAAGATCATGCGAGTTGTCAATATAAGATTATGTACTTTCAATTTTTTAATTCTTTAAAAAAGGGCAGTCAAAAAGTTATATCTATAATTTAATTCTATGCTGTAGAATGTATAGAGACATTTAAACAGGTTTCATATCACCATATACCTTGAACACTTCTGGCAAAAACTATTGGAAGTAACCAGTATTTCTGAAAGCATAAGAAGTCATTAGTTTTAAACCTGACCTCTTCAAGTAGATCAAAATCATGTAGAATCCTGAATGCTGAGCTAAGGAAAGGTTTAGTATTTAAATTAAAAGGAATCATGCTATATTTTATTAAATTCAAGCATTTTGATGTAATAGTTGCCAGCAAACATGAAGATTAAAGAAAAACTTGTATTCATTTTTATTGATAACTTATTATCACTTTTCCCAAGTCTTTCAAAAAGGAATAAATTTTAATATGTTTGTGCTTTTATTAAAATTAACTTATTACCAAAGTTTGAATTAATTTCTGTGCTGTTTCTTTTATAGATTGAAATTGACCTTGGGAGGAAATGTCATTTTCATTCCATCTTTGCTTGTCCCATCTTGAGACAACAGACTTCTGAAAATAATCCTCCTATGCGACTTGTTTGTGGTCATGTGATATCTAGGGATGCCCTTCATAAATTAGCTAATGGAAATAAGTAAGTATATTTCTGGTATGCTAACAAAAGAAAACCAGTATGAGCAACATCCCACTCTAAACAAGTATGTCCTGGGACTTCACTTATTGTTTAGAACAGACTGAAAAATATTATCCCTCAACAACAACCATAAATGTGCCCCCCTTTTTTAAGTATTGTAGTCATGGATTTTGTAAAAGAAAAAAAATATCCATAGGTCTGGATATTAGATCATTCCAGATGTTTAATGTCTGGATTTCACACTTTTTTACTATATTATTTATTATTACTTACACACACATATATATATTAAACAAAATGAGTAAATTAAGGGAATAACTTCAAATTAAATACCGCCCCCTAGATGATAGTCTAATTTGAATTTATTCAGTTGACTGCTTCATTTTCTTACTTTTTCATTAATTTTGTTTTGATTTTTATTTTTTCCCTCTTTCCTACTCTTCTACAACAATAATTTAGCCTTCTTGCATTAATTTAAAATTTTAGTTGATCTTTGTTTATTAAATAAGACGTCACGGATAGTATTAATTTATTTAACAATCTCAGCAGTGTTAGCTATAGATTTTAGTTTTGGTCCTTTTAGTACCATCTTTTTATTTTTGAATATATACATACATATTATTATATATATTAAATTATATACACATATATATATTTAAAACTATAGATATAGAATCATTTTTCTTTCTCTCTTTATAGATAAATGTGATAATGTAATAAGGCTCATTATTCTCTCTCTCTCTTTATATATAAATGTAACATGGTGAACCTTCCCATAGCAACCACTTTTTAAAGTGGTCAATATTTCTGGCAGAATGAGCAAGCATTGTTATTGAATGTGACATATGTAAGAAGACCATTTCTGTAAAATACTGAAATTATCTGTAGCCATAAGTGGTCAGCAGAGAGAGAATTCCCTGTATTTGTTTTTTGGCTGTCAATTTTGCAATAATACTTCTTCAGATAGTGCATTATCTTCAATATAGGCATAAATTGTTCTGTTCCTAAATTAAATATCTTACAATTAAATAAATCCTGATGATAAATATGAAAATAAAACTGAAAACTAAAAATAAAAATCTGTTAAGTTTTCCATTTATTCATCATAAATCATAATACACAGAAAACTTTAACCTAGGGTTTCAGATGATTTGGTCTTCTGTGGAGGTAGTAGTCTTAGGAATTCATGGCGTTTGTGCATGCGTACATACGTACATATCTTGCGTAACTCAAAAACAACTATCCTCAGAATGTTGAAATTTTGTATGTGGGGCTGCTATAACACATCTTACAGCTTTCACATTCAATACCAATGCTTGTTCATACTGCCAGAAATATTAGCCACTTTCAAAATTAGTTGCTAAGAGAAGGTTCACTATATTACATTTATATAGAGAGAGAGAGCATAGTGAGCTATCTAAACAGATTGTATATCTATAGTTTTAAATATATATGTATAAAAATAATAAGATGGTAGTAAAAGGACCAAAACTAAAATGTAGGTGTACACCTCATATTTTGGTTGCAACCGGCCATACCAAAAGTATATAAATATATGTATGTATATCTCAGTTTCTTTATTCTTATATATTTGTAAATTGTGCATTTTTTCTTTAAAAATGATTGAATTATGTTGTTCTTATCTTTCGGTGAAGGTTTTTTTTATGCCTTTAGTGAATCTGCATACAATATTTGTAGAAGTATCAGAAATTTAAAATTTAAGTGTGGCTGAGCATAATTATTTTTGCCGTGGCGGCCATATCTGTTTACATTTGAAACTTAGCAAAATAGTAGATTTGTTGCCAATTTAGAGAAACTAAGCTCCACAACAACAAAGATAATGCTTTCTTTTATTATTGCGAATTAAATCGTGCTTAATCCATTCTGGAATTTATTCAAAGAAACAAGTGTTTAAGATTTACTTCATAATTTTTAATATAGATACGTATTTTGAGTTTTTATGTATTTTTGCCTTGTCACAAAGCAAGAACTGAATTAATTGAATAAGAAATACTGAATCGTCTGTGAAAAACTTTTTTTTTTTTTTTTTTTTTTTTTGTTGTTTGGTTTGCTTAATTTCTTTTTACATCCTTTTAGATTTATTATAGTATTTGAGTAGAACATGTGGCAACAATTAGGTAATTCTTCAAATGATATAAATTTTGTGCATTCTGAGTTATAAAATGAATAAAATGTAACGCTGTTAAGTGAACCTAGCATCAGAGTGTCGCTGTGGTAAACAAATATAGTGAATTTTAAAGAGTGCATTTATTCTGGTGCGGTTTATGCGCTATCGACGAAGTAGATTTAAAATTAAATCCAATAAGTTTAAATGAAATGCAAGAAAAAATATGTAAAATTTAATATTCCGTATATTTATGTATATATATGTATAATTTAATATTCCGTCATATGGTGTACACACCAGATTTTTTAAATACCTGATGTCATTTGGTCAGTCTGTGCTAATTTTATTTACTGCTGTTATTTTTGAGGTACACTGCTCAAAACAAAAAAAAAAAAAAAAAAAAAAAAAAAAAAAAAGGGGGGGGGGACAGTGCTATATCTCCCGTTCTACAGTGCCGATTGACAAAATTCAAACTGCATTTTTCATGTCTTGAAAGCGCAACTTAGGATATATATTAGCTTTATGTATAGCACTATTCTAACATAGGTATTTTGACACAAAATCAGACTTTTTCTGAAAATAACATACGAATTTTTTTCCATATTTCGATTCTACGATTCAAATTATGCCAGAATGCCAAGTTTTGTAAATATCATAAGAGTAGTTTTTAATTATTGATTTTTCCGGATTATAGATCATCAGTTTAAATCTGGTAAAATGGCATGCAGAAATTATAAAATTAAAAATATGAAACCGTAATTTATAAAATAATGAGCAATTATGATCTAAAGGGTATCAAAATTTACAAAAAAAGAAGCTTAATATTTATTTGTTTACTTTATTAAACATTTCTTTCAACACGCGTATGCATAAAGCATACCTTACGCATAGCCGAAATTAGAAAATTGCAACTAGAAAACTATTTGATTTGTATTTGTGATATTTATAATGATGAGGAATTTGATTTAAATCATATCAAAGACGGAGTACATCGAGATTAAATACTACATTTAGTAAGGAATTACAGTCAAAAGTCGTTAATTCGGACACCCATAATTCGGAATGATCTATAATCCGGACATCAAAACTAAAAACTTTCTGCGCATGCGCAACGTTGACACATGCGCAGAGGCGTTCACGCGTGCGCATAAGACCTTTTACGACTGCGCATATGAGTGTGCGCAAGTGCAGAATACATTTTCGCGTGCGCATTTTATGTATAATGGACGTATAAGCTAAAATTATCTAATTATCTATTTCAGTTAATGTTGATGATTGCGTTGTTCCTTAATTTTCGAATTGCATCCGGCTTATTTATTTTTTGCAGACTGTAAGAGCAATTTTATAAAAGTAAGCTTAAACTTTCGATTATATCAAATAGAATTTCCGATATATATTTGCTAATATGTAAAGGATCTAAAGCGAATGTATGTTTTGGAAATCCGAAATCTGTTTATCAATTTCACGCAGTTCGGCGGGGGGAATGCCTCGGCGCACAATGAATTGGAAGTTGATTTGTCTCAGCACTATCCTTATCTTCAAGGCAGATGTTTTTATTTTATTTGGCTTATAATTGCCTTAACCAAATGTAGTATTTCATCTCGATGATGCACTCCGTCTTTGATATGATTTAAAACAAGTTCCTCGTCATTATAATTCGCTTCCGATAGTCGAAGAAAGTGACAGAGGTTATTGAAAACAAAAAAATTTCGATTGACAAATTAGTCGGTGTTCTTGACACAGCAATTATAGGACTTGAACGGCGGAACTTTGTAACTGAACAAGAAAATTATGTCTGTTTAATAGAATTAAATAGAAAGTATTATCACATGAAACGAAGCAAAACTTAAACAACTTACATTGAAAGAAATGTTTAATAAAGTAAACAAATAAATATTAAGCTTTTTCTTTTTGCAAATTTTGATACCCTTTAGATCATAATTGTTCTTATTTCATAAATTACGGTTTCACATTTTTAATTTTAGAATTTCTGCATGCCATCTTATGAGATTTAAACTGATGATCTATAATCCGGAAAAATCGATAATCCGGAATCGCCGAAGTCCCGACGAGTCCGGATTAACGACTTTTGACTGTATAAGCCGAATAAAATAAAAACATCTGCCCTAAAGATAACGATAGTGCTGACAGATCAACTTCCAGTTCATTGCCCGTGCCAGCAACGTCCCCCCCCCCCACGCAGAGCAGAGTGAAATTGATAAACAGATTTCGGAACCGTTAGATAAACAAAGGATATGCCTTTATCCATTTTTTATAGCAATTCGTTTTTTGTTTGATGGACATCGAAACATACTTTCGTTTTCTAGATCCTTTGGGAGCTCCAGCATCGGAAATTCTATTTGACGTAATCGAAAGTTCAAGCTTACTTTTATAAAATTGCTCTTACAGTCTGCAAAAAATAATAAGCCGGATCCAATTCGAAGATTAAGGAACAGCGCAATCATCAACATTAACTGAAATAGATAATTAGATCATTTTAGCTTATACCGTCCGTTTTACATTAAACGCGCACGCGAAAACGTATTTTGCGCTTGCGCAGACACATATGCGCAGTCGTAAATGTCTTGCGCGCATGCGTAAAACGCCTATGCGCATGCCTCAATGCGGCGCATGCGCAGAAAGATTTTAGCTTTGAGGTCCGGATTATAGATCATTCCGGATTATGGGTGTCCGAATTAACGACTTTTGACTGGACATGAATTTTTAATCAGTAATTACAATTTTAATTATCATTGTTATTATTGAAATATATTATTTATTTTTTTCTTTCTTTCAGACTGAAATGTCCTTATTGTCCAGTGGAACAAAATCCATCTGATGCAAGACTGATTCATTTTTAAGCAATTTGAGCTACATATTAATATAATGCAAAAGAAAATGCTATTCATTAGTAACGCTGAGGACTATTTTTGGAAGTGTAGCACTGTAGAAAAGTGCTAAGGTGTATGATATTGTATTTTAGGTGTAATTGTCTTGCTTTAAGAATTAAAAGATTTATTTTGTATCTTTTAGTATTAGCTCACAGTTTCCTTTTATTTATTTTTATTACATTTCAGTCAGTTTCAATTTGTGAGTTTTGTAATATATTTTTTACTAATCAAATTTGAAGTTGATTCCTATATTGAAAAGTAAAATGTAATCCATAATAAATTATTAGTTTGTCTTCTGAACTACTTCTCAGTTATAATTTGGGGGTTTTTATCAGTAAGTTTCTGTGGAAAAAAATTAAATAAGGTTAAAAAACTGAAATGAATAAAATGAGATAAAAAAAAACAAACATCATTTTTTGGCACTTCTTTACTTTTCTATAAGTTACCTTATTTGGCAATTTAAAAAAGCAGCGTTTCTTACATTTTATGTAACATATTTTATGTTAAAATATTTCAAAAACCATTACAGTATGTTATGTATAATTTTATAAATGGAAATTTTGATCCAGTATGAGGGTTACAGCATACTTTACCATATGTGACAAATACTTAATTTTACATAATTCTGTTTGGCTCTAAATATAAAGATATCTGGGACTCCATGGAAATAGCTATTAATCTAATGTGAAATCAAAATTTGGAATATAGCTAGCTCTTTTGAAAATTCTGTATGAATGAATTCTTTCCAAATTTTCAATATTAGGCAAAAATTGTCCAACTATTTTCTTTGGCAGTTCTGAGCTGTTGCCAGTTCTCATGTGTTTCATAACAAGTTCAAATTGCTGTCTGCTTACCTTTTTTACTATAAATTTACTATTATAAATGGATAAATCCATATCCTAATTGTGTATGTGGTGTGCTTTTTGTATCTGAAGCATTGCTACTGATTGTTACACCTAAAAATTTTTCAGATGCTGCTGACATTTGGCTTCTAGTGTTTCTATGAATTTCATGGTTATATCTAAACAGTACTTCATTGATGACCTGAAAGGAAAAGCACTGAGAATACTTCAATTCTGTGATATAAATATGATATAAAACCACTTGTTTTCCCTTTTCAGCCTTGAATAGAGTTCTGTCAAGCAGCTTAGTCAAAGAATTTGAATAGAATCAGAGAACTCGTTCACATTTTTTTTTTTTTTTTTCTTTTTTTTTTTTCCATTGGTCATGTACACCATATGTTTCCTAAGATTTGCTTACTGTATCCTTGTTGTTGAGTTAGATGCCATACCTGTTTGCATAGACTTTGTTCAAGACATAGAGAAAAGATTTAGATAAAAGAAAGATAGCATAAAGATGGTTTATTTATTTGATAGAATGTGGATCCTAATGATCTTAAGATCTAAATGTGTATGATTTTAATAGTTAAAAGAAATATTTCATTAAAATTTGCAAAAATTCTGAAAAAAATACGAAAATCATAAAATAATGTTTCAATTGAAGGCATTGATACAATTCATTATATCCGATTTTTATGTTCTTGGAGGTTAGCTACAACAATATAAAATAACATTAAATGTTATTAATGTTATTTTATAATTGTTAAGTAAGATTGGGACCAAAAGGTTCATTCATTAAATCTGAAGGTTTGTGAAAGTAAGGTTGAATAGTATTATTAATGCTGATAATTTTCAAAAATAAATTATGAAAATTAAAGATGTGTAGCATTAAAATATGGATATCAAATTAGGAAGTGTCATTTATCCTTAAACAGGTGGTAAGTGCAAATTTTGATTGAAAATGGTAAAAAATAACTGCTTGATATTTTCACACCTTGGTGAGAAGTAATTACATGATACTTCTAGTGTTGAAATTTTCCTACTCTGGGGAATGCGATCTTGAGTGTTAACACATCCAGAAATTATAGTAATTTTGTAGTGCAGTTTGCCATGAGAGGATTTATTATATATGTATGTGTATATATACTCTCACCAAGACTACCAGAAATGTTTCAGGTAATTTTGTCTTTTGTGGTGGATGTCGTCATATACAAGCCATGTTCAGTTTTAATGTTTATTTATGGTCTCCAAAATACTAGGCAGTTTGAAAGGTTATTTTCATGAGAAGATTTCACCAATATAATTTAAAATGTATTCATTCATCATATAGGGAATTTTTGGTAATGGCATAGTGTGGAATGTACTATTTTTAATTTGTTCCTTATGTCTTAGATGGCACAATTAAAATGTTATTTTTAATGTTGAAAATAATTAGAAATAATTACGTATACATATTTGAAAATAGTTCCATGAATTAATTTAATAACCCTTTAAATTTCAATAACTTTATAATTAATAATAATAGTTTCATAAAATAAAACATTCTCTAACTTTTACTTTCAAAATTTGAATGGGCAGTAAAATGACATGGAAAAGAAAGGGGGCTAGAAAACTAAAATTATATGTGTCATTACTTAATATTCTGATGAAATATTAAGTAATGACACATACAAACAATAACACATACATGTTTAATTTAAAGTCCTATTTAAACTATTTGTCATGTTTCTAAAGTATATGAATATCATATCAGATAAAGATTATTAGGTATTTATTTTCTAGTTTTTATAATTTTTATGTTTGTCCTTTCCTATTTTTAAATTTTGTGCTAAAAGCAGCAATTTCCAGCCGTTATTGGTTGATGACATGCTGAAAAATGGCAAACTTAGGCTCACTTAGGTTCAGTTTTGGTTAGGTTCTTTCAAAATAAGCAAAGCATTTGAGTGCTGTGTGGCTAAGAAAGGGAAGTACTCTGTGAGGGAAACTGGCTTGCATTCACATTGACATGCAGGAATCAGCCTAAAAGAGGCATCTTTTATGACTGTTGTATTAACCCTCTCACTGCATACTTTTTTAAATCAAAGTAGGTTAAAAAATTGCATATTTTTTTATTACATATTTCAAATAGTTTGTATATTTTAGAGTTAAAATATACAAAAATTTTTTGTAAAAGAGTTTTTTTTTTTTCAATATAGAAATAGATCATATAAAAAGGTTAAAAAACTGAACCTTGTAAGAATACTAAAATTGAAGAGTAATGATATAAAAGCAAAATTATGAAAATTAATATTGGTTAAAATATGATTTATTTTATAAAATACAAAGGTAAAACATATATACTAATGAAAATATTTGCATAATGTAATATTTTACATATCAATTTTGCACCACTGTTGAACGTTTTCAATAGAAACTGAATTTTCAGATTCATCACTATCTGCAGAGGAATCCTAGAAATTCTCATCAGTTTCGCTATAACTATTTTCAATATACTTGAAATCAGAGTCAGAACTACTATCAGTGTTTGAAATATCGTCAGGAATATAGGTTATATCACTCATAAAACGCTTCCTGTCAGACATCTTTGTGCGTGCAAAATGCTACATTACCTATTCTTTTATATTTGGCAGAAATGTGGACAACTAAGGCCTTCTGTTAGCCCACATCTAAATAAATGATTAAACATCACAGAAAAGCTGAAAGGAAACCTTGAATGAGGAAAGAGCGGGTTGCACATTTAAATAGACTGCAAAAATTCAGCCCCGTGGAAATCACGGGTTGTGCAAATTTTGCTACTTCTATGTTGCTTGTGGAAATCGCTGGATGCGCAGCGAGATGGTTAAGACTTAACATAATAAATGGAAGACTTAATGTAAGACTAAATATTAAGATTTAACCTTATAAAGACATGATCTTTTAATTGCCAGACAAGTGATTTTTAGATTGCAGCATTTAATTTTTTCTAAGTGGCAACTAAATAAAGGTATATTTTACTTTGAATTGCTGACATGTTTAATTTATAACAAGGCACCAATTATATTGGTGCCCAAGGGCACTGCAAATGCTGGAGCCTGGTCTACCATTATTCAGATGTAACACACATACACATTATTTTTATGCAAAGACATTATTTTCAAGATGTAATTATACTCATTGCAGAAAATTAAAATATAGTGTATTATAACAGAAGTATAGTATTCAAAAGAGAATATACATTTTTTATATCTGCGATCATCGGACATGACAATCACAAAAACCGAGAAAGGCTGTAAACCAAAGTTTTGCTTTGTTGGTAGAAAGTTTAAGAATTAATTTTTCTCGTATAAGTTTTTCTGTTGCTCTTACAAGATATTCAAATTAGGAAAACTTTTAATATATTAATAGCATCATAGTAAATATACAGTATATTTTTGTGTGAAGCCTTCTGGATTGTAAAAATTTGCATTATAAGTATCCAAATTTTATGATTTTGTTTAGGAAACAGCTGTAGGAGCCCTCATAGGTTATACTATTAACAGTACTCTCTTTATATATATATATTCAGTAAAATTATTATAATAATTTTTCAGTTAAAATTAGTAAATTCCATTGAGAAAATTATAAAAATGTGTGTAGCTTTTCATTATTAGATATTTTTCATGGGAATTGGTTTAGTAAATTATTGCTGTGAACATAGATCAGAAAGAAAATCAGACCTCTTTCATTCATATGCAGTATTTCTAATGGATAGCATTTTTCTTGCTGTTATAAATTTTTATCTTTCATCTGAATATTAACATTAAAAGGTTTGCTTTTACAAATATTTATAAAATGGTTTTCTATGATTAATACTTTATACAATATCTGTGTGTTAATTGTTCATTTTTGTTAATTTACATTAATATGCCATCATTGCACTGATATGTAAAATGAAGAATCTTTTTGTAGTTGTGAACACAGTATAAATATATGATGTACAACAATCATTTTGATTTTATAAAAGGATATACAAGCCAAGAAATTATGAATAACTGAGTATCTGAAATATTGCATTAATATGATTTAGTGTGAAAGTTTGAGTACCTAAAATTTTAGTTGCTTTATAATTGTTTGATATTTATTAAAAGGATTATGAGCATGTTTAAAAATATAGATGTTTAAAAAAAAGTTGATGGAAAAGAATTTTTAAAATAAGGTGGACATTCAGAATTAATTGAAAAAGGCGCAAATGGAGTGTGAGATTTCTTCATTGACTAGAAGCATAAAAATGCCATTATTTTAACAAACCAAATATTTTATTTCACATATTCATTGTTCAGATTT